GACTGCCTTTGCTGCATCCCAAAGATTTTGAACAGTTGTGTTTTCATTTTCATTGGTTTCCATGTATTTTTTTTAATTCTTCTTTAATTTCCTGGTTGACCCATTCATTCTTCAGTAGGATGCTCTTTAGCCTCCACGTATATGAGTTCTTTCCAACTTTCCTCTTGTGGTTGAGTTCTAGTTTCAAAGCATTGTGGTCTGAAAATAGGCAGGGAATGATCCCAATCTTTTGGTACCAGTTGAGACCTGATTTATGACCTAGGATGGGATCTATTTTGGAGAATGTTCCATGGGCACTAGAGGAGAATGTGTATTGCGTTGCTTTGGGGTGGAATGTTCTGAATATGTCTGTGAAGTCCATTTGGTCCAGTGTGTCATTTAAAGTCTTTATTTCCTTGTTGATCTTTTGCTTAGACGATCTGTCCATTTCAGTGAGGGGGGTGTTAAAGTCCCCCACTATTATTGTATTGTTGTCGATGTGTTTCTTTGCTTTTGTTATTAATTGCCTTATATAACGGGCTGCCCTCATGTTAGGGGCATAGATATTGACAATTGTTAAATCTTCTTGTTGGATAGATCCTTTAAGTATGATATAGTGTCCTTCCTCATCTCTTATTACGGTCTTTGGTTTAAAATCTAATTTGTCTGATATAAGGATTGCCACCCCAGCTTTCTTTTGGTGTCCATTAGCATGGTAAATGGTTTTCCACCCCCTCACTTTCAATCTGGGGGTGTCTTTGGGTCTAAAATGAGTCTCTTGCAGACAGCATATCGATGGGTCTTGTTTTTTAATCCAGTCTGTTAGCCTGTGTCTTTTGATTGGGGCATTGAGCCCATTTACATTCCGGGTAACTATTGAAAGATAGGAATTTGGTGCCATTGTATTGCCTGTAAGGTGACTGTTACCGTATATTGTCTGTGTTCCTTTCTGGCCTATGTTGCTTTTAGGCTCTCTCTTTGCTTAGAGGACCCCTTTCAAGATTTCCTGTAGGGCTGGTTTTGTGTTTGCAAATTCCTTTAGGTTTGTTTGTCCTGGAAGCTTTTTCTCTCTCCTTCAATTTTCAATGACAGCCTAGCTGGATAGAGTATTCTTGGCTGCATATTTTTCTCATTTAGTGCTCTGAATATATCCTGCCAGTCCTTTCTGGCCTGCCACGTCTCTGTGGATAGGTCTGTTGCCAATCTAATGTTTCTACCCTTGTAGGTTACATATCTCTTCTCCTGAGCTGCTTTCAGGATTTTCTCTTTGTCTATGAGACTCGTAAGTTTTACTATTAGATGTCGGGGAGTTGACCTATTTTTATTGATTTTGAGGGGGGTCTCTGTGCTTCCTGGATTTCATGCCTGTTTCTTTCCCCAAATTAGGGAAGTTCTCTGCTATAATTTGCTCCATTATACCTTCTGGCCCTCTCTCTCTTTCTTCTTCTTCTGGGATCCCAATTATTCTAATATTGTTTCGTCTTATGGTATCACTTATGTCTCAAATTCTGCCCTCGTGATCCAGTAGTTGTTTATCTCTCTTTTTCTCAGCTTCTTTATTTTCCATCATTTCATCTTCTATAGTACTGATTCTCTCTTCTGCCTCATTTATTCTAGCACTTAGCGCCCCCATTTTTTTGCACCTCATTAATAGCCTTTTGATTTCTACTTGGTTGGATTTTAGCTCTTTTACTTCTCCAGAAAGGGTTTCTCTAATAACTTCCATATTTTTTTCAAGCCCAGCTAGTATCTTTAAAGTGATGATTCTGAACTCTAGATCTGACATCGTACTAATGTCCGTATTGAGTAGGTCCCTGGCAGTCGGTACTACCTCTTGTTCTTTTTGTTGAGGTGATTTTTTCCGTCTCGTCATTTTGTGCAGAGGATAATAGATTAATGAGAGAACAAAAGGCTAGCAGAGTAACCACGTCCCCAGAAAATATACTTCAAACAAATCAGAAAAGACCTGAAGCAGTGGGATAAGAAAGGGAAAGAGAGAAAAGAGAAAAAGAAAAAAAAAAGAAAAAGATAAAGATAAAAACAAAAACAAACAAAACAAAACAACAACAACAAAAGAAAAACCAGAATGTGATCAAATATGATCTATATGGTATATAGATCAGTGCCACACACTAGATTTGGGGTGTATTTTGGTCTTTTAGAAGAGAGTGCCTCCCAAAATTTTAAAGAAAAAAAACTTATATATGTACAAAAATAAGGATTGATATGATGAAGGGATGGAATATGACTGTAAAAATGGAAATTACAAAAAATTTTATAAAAGGAATTGGTAAGAAGTTGTTTGAAAAAAGAAAGAAGAGGATTTAAAAAAGAAAAAAGAAAAAGAGAAAAAAAAAGGGAGAGGATGTGATCAGGCAGGGGAATAGAAAACACCATATACTAGAGATTTAGGGTATATTTTAATCTGTTAGAAGAAACTATCTCAAAATTTTAAAGAGAGAACAACTTATATATATAAGCTAAAAATATGGGTAACTACTATGAAGGGATAGAATATGACTCTAAAAATGAAAAATAAAAATGTTTTTTTTTTTAAAGGGATTGATAAGATGTTGGTTGAAAAATGGAAAAAGAAAAATTCAAAAAGAAATAAAAAGACAAAAAAGACAGTTAAAAAAAAATTAACTTTACAAGACTAAAGAATCATGGTAAAAAAGCCGTGAATTCTATGTGCAGTATTCCCCTAGCGCTGGAGTTCTGCCGTTCTCATTGATCGGTAAACTTGGTCTTGGCCGGCTGTTCTCCCTGATCTGGGGAGGGGCCTGTTGCCGTGGTTCCCAAATGTCTCTGCCGGAGGCGGAATTGCCCCGCCCTTGCCCCCTCCCAGCTAAGTAATCTGCTCGGGGTTGCTCTCCGGGGCTTTTGTTCCCTGCGAGCTTTCCGAACAGCTTTGGAGGCGGAGAGTGAAAATGGCGGCCTCCCAATCTCCACCCTGGAGGATCCGAGAACTCGGGCCCGCTTCTCAGTGCGCCCCCAGAGAAAAGCCGTCAGTCACTCCTGTCTCCCTGGTCTCCGGCCGCACTCCGTGCTCACCCGGCCTGCATCCGCGCACCTCTATCTCTGGCACCCGACCCCGGGTGGAGTCTCCAAACCCAGCAGATCCCTGCGGTGCACTCCCGCGCACCTCCTCCCGGGGGAGGAAGGTGAGTCTCCCCGGATCTGCCGCTTGTTGGGTCCCTGCTGGAGGAGCAGTGGCCCGACTGTGCTGTGGATCACGGTTTATGGCCACCCCGGGCTGAGAGCCCGCGCCTGGCCGCCGCCTCTGCAGCCGGCTTCCCTGCTCCGTTACCTGGGAGCTCTGCCACGCTCAGGCACCCCCGGTCTTTCTGTGACCCCGAAGGTCCTGAGACCACACTGTCCCGGAGGGTTCCACCCTCCGCTTAGCCACCAGAGTGACGTCCCTCAGCGGAGCAGACTTTCAAAAGTTCCGATTTTGTGCTCCGTGGTTCTATCACTTGCCAGAAGCGGCCGACGGAGGCCCCTCCCCCGCCGTCTATCCTCCCGAATATCGCCTCGGATTCACTTCTCCGCACGTCCTACCTTCCAGAAAGTGGTCGCTTTTCTGATGAGAGAGTTGTTGCTCTTCTTTTCTTCAATCTCCTGTTGAGTTTGTTGGTGTTCAGAATGGTTTGATCCCTATCCAGCTGAATTCCTGAGAGGAGACGAAATCCAGGGCTCCTACTCCTCCGCCATCTTGCTCCGCCCCCCGATAATTGTCTTTCTATGCTTGACTTATTTCACTTAGCAGAATCTCCTGCAGTCCCATCCATGTTGATGTAAAAGTTGGGTATTCATCTTTTCTGATGGCTGAGTAATATTCCATTGTATATATGGACCACATCTTCTTTATCCATTCATCTGTTGAAGGGCATCTCGGCTCTTTCGACAGTTTGGCTATTGTGGACATTGCTGCTATGAACATTGGGGTGCATATGGCCCTTCTTTTCACTACATCTGTATCTTTGGGGTAAATACCCAGTAGTGCAATTGCTGGGTCATAGGGTAGCTCTATTTTAAAATTTTTGAGGCACCTCCACACTGTTTTCCAAAGTGGCTGTACCAACTTGCATTCCCACCAACAGGGTAAGAGGGTTCCCTTTTCTCCACAACCTCTCCAACATTTGTTATTTCTTTCCCTGTCCATTTTGGCCATTCTAACTGGTGTAAGGTGGTATCTCAATGCGGTTTTGATTTGGATTTCCCGGATGGCTAATGATGATGAACATTATTTCATGTGTCTCTTAGCCATTTGTATGTCTTCTTCAGAGACGTGTCTTTTCATCTCTTCTGCCCACTTTTTGACTTGATTATTTGTTTTTTGGGTGTTGAGTTTGAGAAGTTCTTTATAGATTTTGGATACCAGTCCTTTATCTGTAACGTCATTTGCAAATATCTTCTCCCATTCTGTGGGTTGCCTCTTTGTTTTGTTGACTGTTTCCTTTGCTGTGCAGAAGCTTTTTATCCTGATGAAGTCCCAAAACTTCATTTTTGCTTTTGTTTCACTAGCTTTTGGAGATGTATCTTGAAAGAAGTTGCTGTGGCCAATGTCAAAGAGGTCACTGCCTATGTTCTCCTCGAGGATTTTGATGGATTCCTGTCTCACATTGAGGTCTTTCATCCACTTTGAGTTTATCTTTGTGAATGGTGTTAGAGAATGGTTGAGTTTCATTCTGCCTGCGGCTGTCCAATTTTCCCAGCAGCATTTATTGAAGAGCCTGTCTTTTTCCATTGCATGCTTTTTCCTGCTTTGTCAAAGATTATTTGACTATAGAGTTGAGGGTCCATATCTGGGTTCTCTATTCTGTTCCACTGGTCTGTATGTCTGTTTTTGTGCCAGTACCATGCTGTCTTGGTGATCACTGCTTTGTAATAGAGCTTGAAAACCGGCAACGTGATGCCCCCAGCTTTGTTTTTCTTTTTCAACATCTCCTTGGCGATTCGGGGTCTTTTCTGATTCCATACAAATTTTAGGATTGTTTGTTCCAGCATTTTGTAAAATGTCATTGCGGCAGCAGACGGCGGTGGCAGGCGGCGGCAGGATGCGGAGGCAGGCAGGCGGCCACGGATGACGGCGGGCAGCAGGCTGCAGGCGCAGGCAAGGGCGGTGGGTGGCAGAAGGCAGGTGGCGGCGGCAGGCAGAGGTAAGCGGCAGCAGGGGGCGGCAGTGGCAGACGGCAGTGGTAGTACTGCCTGGTGGCGGCAGCAGGCAGGCGGTGGCAGGCGGCGGTGGCAGGCAGCGGCAGGGAGGTGGTGGCAGTCGGTGACAGGTGGCAGCGGGCAACAGCAGAGGTGGCGGCGGTGACAGCACCAGCGGGTGACGTCTATGGCTGCAGCGGCTGCAGGGGCGGCAAGGGCTGCAGGGGCGCCAGCTTTGGGCAGCCCAGGGTCATTGGGCGGCAGTGTGTGGCAGCCTCAGCAGCAGGTGCCATTGGCTTCAGCCGGAGTCACCGGCGGGGGAAGCAGGCGCCCCCCAATAGGGGCGGGGTCAGCAGCAGGCGGGTCAGCGGCGGCAGCGTGGGTCAGCGTGGGGAGGGGCGCTGGAAGCGCCGGCGGGCGTCTGCGAGTTACGCGGCGGCGTCTGCGGCGTCAGTGGCGTCAGGGGCGTCAGCGGCGTCGGCGGCGTCAGCAGTAGTGCTGGCGTCAGTCGGCTTCAGCGTTGGGCAGCAGCGGAAGCTCCGGGCAGCAGAGGCAGCAGCAGGAGTATCAGCAGCGGGCGGCGGCAGCGGTAGGTGCCGGGTTAGTGGGGGTCAGAATGTGGCAGCGGGAGGCGGTGGAGGCAGTGGAGGCAGGGGGCGGCAGTGGAGGCAGGGGGCGGCAGTAAGCGGTGGGGGCAGGGAGGCAGGCAAGGGCGGCGGGCGGTGGAAGGAGGTAGCAAGCGGCGGCGGCGGCAGGGGGCGGGGGCAGGCAGGCTGCGGCAGGCAGGTGGCAGACAGTTGCAGGCAGGCTGCAGCACTGGGGGTACGCAGTAGCCGCAGGCGGCAACAGGCAGTGGCGGCAGGAAGCGGCGGCGGGCAGGTGGTGGGGGCAGGTAGTGGCGGCCGGCAGGCCCCGGCTAGGGGCAGGCAGGGGGCGGCGGCGGCAAGAGGTGGCAGACGGGGGCAGGCAGTGGTAAGCGGCGGGAGGAAGCGGCGGCCGGCGGCAGGGCCAGGCAACATTGTTAGGTAGGCGGCAGCGGTAGGCATGTGGTGGCGGTGGGCTGCCGTGGCGGGTAGTGGTAAGTGGCAGCAGGCGGGGGTAGGCGGCGGTGGTAGGTAAGCAGCAGCAGGCCGTGGCGGGCTGCAGGCAGCAGGGGCCAGGCAGGAAGTGGCGGCTGACAGTCGTAGCCGGCCATAAGCGATTGCAGAAAGCGGCGGCAGGCGGCAGGGGCAGGTGGCAGGGGGAGGCGGGCCACAACGGCGGCAGGCAGTGAGGGCAGCAGACGGCAGCAGCGTCAGGCGGCAGCGGCAGGCGGTGGGAGCAAGCGGGCTGCGGGGGGCAGCGGCAGCAGGTGGCGGCGGTAGGCAGGCAACGTTGGCAGGCATCTTCGAGGTTAGGCAGCGGAGGCTGGTGGCAGTAGCCGCAGATGGCAACAGGCGGTGGTGGCAACAAGCAGTGGCAGGCAGGTGGCGGGGACAGGTGGTGGCCGCAGGCAGCAGTGTTAGGAAGGCGGGAATTGCAGCTGTTGGGAGGCGGCAGTAGTAGGCATGCGGTGGTGGCGGGCAGTGGTAAGCGGCAGCAGGCGGCGGTGGTAAGGAAGCGGCAGCGGGCCGTGGCGGGCAGCGGGCAGTGGGGGCAGGCAGGCGGTGGCAGGCAACGTCAGCAGCGGGCTGCAGGCGGCCGCGGTAGGCAGGTGGTGGTGGTGGTGGCAGGTGGCGGCGGTAGGCACCGGTAAGCGGCGGCAGGGGGTGCGGGCAGGCAGGCGGAGGCAGGGGGACACAGGCAAGGATGCCGGGCGGCGGCAGGCAGAGTTGGCAGACAGGCGGTGGTGGTAGGTAGTAGCAGGCAGCCCCGGCAGGAAGCGAAGGCAGGCGGCAGTGGCAGCAGGCGACAGCGCGGGCAGGCTGTGGTAAGCAGTGGCTGGCAGTCAGGCAGCCACAGGCAAGGGAGGCGCGCGGTGCGAGGAGGTAGCAGGCGGCGGCGGCAGGAAGCGGTGGGACGCAGGCAGCTGGGGCGGCAGGCAGGCAAGCCCCGGCAAGCGGCAGGCAGGCGGCAACAGGAAGCGGCGGCAGCGGTGTCAGGCGGCAGTGGCAGGAAGCCACGGGAGACATCGGAGGCAGGTGGCGGGGGAAGGTGGCAGGAGGAGGCAGGCTGCAGCGGAGGCAGGCAGTGGGGGCAGCGGCCTGCAGGCACCAGCAGTAGGCAGGCGGTGGTGGCAGGTAAGAGGTAGCAGGTGCAGGCTGCAGTAAGCAGCGGCTGGCAGGCAGGCCACGGCAGGTAAGGGCCGCGGGTGGTGCAAGGATATAGCAGGCGGCGGCAGCAGGCAGGCGGCGGGGGCAGGCAGGTGGCAGACAGCAGCATTAGGGAGGCGGCAGCTGTGGCGATTGGCAGGTGGCAGCGTTAGGCCAGCGGTGCCGGCAGCGGTGGGGGTAGGCAGGCAGCGTTGGCATGCATTCTCGGTGTTAGGTAGCTGGGCCCGGTGGAGCCAGGCTGAGGCAGCAGACGGCGGTGGCAGGCCGATGGCCACGGATGCCGGCGGGCAGCAGGCTGCAGGCGCAGGCAAGGGCGGTGGGTGGCAGAAGGCAGGTGGCGGCGGCAGGCAGAGGTAAGTGGCAGCAGGGGCGGCAGTGCCAGACGGCAGTGGTAGTACTGACTGGTGGCGGCAGCAGCAAGGCGGTGGCAGGCGGCGGTGGCAGCAGTGGTGGGCAGCGGCGGCAGGCAGCGGCAGGCAGGCGGTGGCAGGCGGTGGCAGGCGGCAGCAGGCAGTAGCAGAGGTGGCAGCGGTGACAGCAGCAGCGGGTGGCGTCTGGGGCTGCAGCGGCTGCAGGGGCGGCAAGGGCTACAGGGGCGCCCGCTTTGGGCAGCCCCAGGTCATTGGGCGGCGGTGTGTGGCAGCCTCAACAGCAGGTGCCATTGGCTTCAGCCGGAGTCACCGGTGGCGGAAGCAGGCTCCGCGATAGGGGCGCGGTCAGCAGCAGGCGGGTCAGCGTTGGCAGCGTGGGTCAGCGTGGGGAGGGGCGCGGGAACGCCGGCGGGCATCTGCGGGTTACGCGGCGGCGTCAGTGGCGTTAGCCGCGTCCGCGGCGTCCGCGGCGTCAGCAGTAGTGCTGGCGTCAGTCGGCTTCAGCGTTGTGCAGCAGCGGAAGCTCCGGGCAGCAGAAGCAGCAGCAGGAGTATCAGCAGCGGGCGGCGGCAGTGGTAGGTGCCGGGTTAGTGGGGTCAGTATGTGGCAGCGGGAGGTGGTGGAGTCAGTGGAGGCAGGGGGCGGCAGTAAGCGGTGGGGGCAGGGAGGCAGGTAGCGGCAGGCAAGTGTGGTGGGCGGCGGCAGGCAGGGTTGGCAGACAGGCGCCGGCGGTAGGCGATTGCAGGCGGCGGCAGGAAGCGGTGGCAGGCTGTGGAAAGAAGCAGCAGGCAGGCAGGCGGCGGCGGCAGGCAGGCAAGGGCGGCGGGCGGTGGAAGGAGGTAGCAGGCGGCGGCGTCGGCAGGGGGCGGGGGCAGGCAGGCTGCAGCAGGCAGGTGGCAGGCAGTTGCAGGCAGGCTGCAGCACTGGGGGTACGCAGCAGCCGCAGGTGGCAACAGGTGGTGGCGGCAGGAAGCGGCGGCGGGCAGATGGTGGGGGCAGGTGGCGGCGGCTTGCAGGCTACGGCCAGAGGCAGGCAGGGGGCCGCGGCGACCAGAGGTAGCAGGCGGCGGTGGCGGCAGGGGGCGGGGGCAGGCAGGCTGCGGCAGGCAGGTGGCAGGCAGTTGCAGGCAGACTGCAGCATTGGGGGTAGGCAGTAGCCGCAGGTGGCAACAGGTGGTGGCGGCAGGAAGCGGCGGCGGGCAGGTGGTGGGGCCAGGTGGTGGCGGCTGGCAGGCCCCGGCTAGAGGCAGGCAGTGGGCGGCGACGGCAAGAGGTGGCAGACGGTGGCAGGCAGTGGTAAGCGGCGGGAGGAAACGGCGGCAGGCGGCAGGGCCAGGCAGCAGCGTTAGGTAGGCGGCAGCGGTAGGCATGTGGTGGCGGTGGGCTGCCGTGGCGGGTAGTGGTAAGTGGCAGCAGGCGGGGGTAGGCGGCGGTGGTAGGTAAGCAGCAGCAGGCCGTGGCGGGCTGCAGGCAGCAGGGGCCAGGCAGGAAGCGGCGGCTGATAATCCTAGCCAGCCATAAGGGGTGGCAGAAAGCGGCGGCAGGCGGGGGCAGGTGGCAGGGGGAGGCGGGCCACAGTGAGGGCAGGCAGTGAGGGCAGCAGGCGGCAGTGGCCACAGGCAGTGGAGGCAAGCGGGCTGCAGGGGGTGGCGGCGGTAGATTGGCAGCGTTGGCAGGCATCGTCGAGTTTAGGCAGCGGAGGCTGGTGGCAGCAGAGGAGGTGGCAGGTGGCAGGCTGCAGGTGGCGGCGGTAGACAGCGGTAAACGGCATCAGGGGGTGTGGGCAGGCAGGCGGAGGCAAGGGGATACAGGCAAGGGTGGCAGGCGGCAGCGGCAGGAAGCGGTGGCGGGCAGGTGGCTGGGGCGGTAGGCAGCGGTAACTGGCAGCAGCTGGTGGGGGCAGCGGCCCGGTGGCAGTAGGGGCAGGGTCAGCGCTGGGCAGCCAGCGCCAGCAAGCAGCAGGCGGCAGAGGGCGGCAGAGTGGGCCAGCCGTGTCGGCGGTCAGCAGCAGCATCTGCGATGGGCAGCGGGTGTCAGTGGCGGTAGCTGGGGGCACTGGCGGTAGCTGGGGGCAGTGGAGGTATGGCTGGGAGCAGAGGGAGCCGGGGGCAGCGGCGTCCTTGGAACCCTAGCATGCTGCAGTTCCGAGGAAGAGGTGCCCCTCAACCTGGTATCTGCAGGGGACACAGGGGGCCACCCAGGACCCAGAGGCCAAGCCTGAGGCGGAGTGCCAAGTCCTGCTTCCTCCCATTGGGGAGGCCAGGTGAGTTCGGCCTCTGCCCTGGGCTTGAGCTTCAGTCTCTCCATCTGTAAAGTGGGCAGAACAGCAAAACCTTAGGGTTATGGTGCAGATTTAATGTAGGTAATGGGTTTCCTCTAGACTGGTTCAGAGTCCAGGTTGTCATTCCTCTTATTCCACTTCCAGCTGTGTGACCTTGAGCAAGATAGGTAATGGCCAGGCCTCAGAATTCTCATCTGAGAGATGGGCCTCCAAAGAGGACCTATATAGGCTTGTTTTGGGGATTTAGTGAAGTAGTACACAGAACCCATTTCCAAAGTCCATGTAAATCATGGTTCCTGGCACGAGATAAGTGCAGTACGAGTCTTTGGGATTAATATCACAGAAGTATTAGTTATTGTTATTGCTAGCACTGGGGAAGGAACACCGTGATTGCCATCCTCATGATTATCATCGTGAGTTAATTGAGGAGCTGCTCTGTGCCTGGCGCTGGCTAAGCATTCTACACCCTTTATCAGTTTGCACATCTCCATGGGCTAGGATCCTGATAGGCCTCTGAGTCTTAGAGACGCAGATAGTGCTTGGAACCAGATTTCAAGCCCTTGTCATTGCAGCTCCAAAACCTGTGCTTCCAACCTCTCCATGAGTGGGGCGTATCCGAAACCCTCCTGCCTCTCTGCTTGACTCTGCACCTTACAGCTTAGAATAGGGCCTAACCCAGAGGAATACAGAGGGATAAGTATTCTCTATTTCTGTTACCGTCGTAGTCTTTATTCACTCGCAGTGCTTTATGGGCACAGATGTAACGGCGGTGGTTAGTGATTCAGATCAAGAGCTGACAGACCATCCCAACTGAGAGAAATGAGACCCATTTTATGTGCTCCTCTCCCCCTAGAATGATGGTCAAGAGACAGTGATGACTCAGAGGTTGCCAGTGAGTTAAAGAAGTTGGCTGCCCAGCCGCAAGAGCCCGAGTAGACAGCAGCGGCGACCTTTGGTAGCATCTCAAAAGACACCTACACGATGGAACATGCCCAGGGATTTGGAAAACTGGTAAGGCATTTTCCATACACCCTGCATTGTTCTTCCTCAACTTCTTCAGTATCTCCCAGGAACTCCCTGCTTCTTCCTGTACCCCTAAGCGGGATGCAGTGCCCAGTGCTCTGGGTAGAGAGGAGCCCAGCACTTTACATGCTGTTCTGTGCACGCACTCACCAGTGTACAAAGCTCTCCTTTAGTCTCTGTGAGGAACAGGAGGGCAGTTTCCCGCACAGATTTGGGCAGGTCCCTGCACTTTCTGAGTCCCCTGAACAATGGTGTATGGCTTACCTGTTTAAATCCAGTTTTGTCTTGGAGTGTTTTACAAGACCTTTTCCTTAGGATAACTTGTAAGATCACTTTCTTTACAACTTCGAAGCTTGTAATACAGTGTTATTAACTATAGCCGCCATGTTGTACGTTACATCCTGTGACTGACTGACTTTATACCTGTAAGTTTGAACCTTTGACCCCTGTCACCCATTTCACACCCATCCCCCTGCCTGTCAACCACCAATCAGACTGCTGTATCTTTAAGCTCAGTTTTTTGGTGGTTTTAGATTCCATATAAAAGTGTTGTCTTAGAGTATTTGTATCTGACTTCTTTCAGTTAGCATCGTGCCCTCAGGGTCCATCCATGTTGTTGTAAAAAGAACGATTTCGTTTTTTGTTATGGCTAAAGAGTATTGCAGTGTCTACATACACCACATCTTCCTTATCGATTCATCCCTCCGTGGACATGTAGGTTGTCCTCCTATCTTAGCTGTTACGAATAATGCTGCAGTGAACATGGGGGTTCAGATATCTTTTCAAATGGGTGTTTTTGTTTTCTTTGGCTAAATGGCCAGGAGAAAAATTGCTGGATTGTAGGCTCGTTCTAGTTTTAATGTTTTGAGGAGCCTGCATACTCTTTTCCACAGTGGATGCACCTACCTACGTTCCCACCAACAGCTCACTGGGGTTCCCTTTCGGCCACATCCTTGCTAACATATGTTATTTCTCATCTTTTTGATACTAAATTTTCTAACCAGTGTGAGGTGCTATCCCATTGTTTTGATTTGCATTTCCCTGATGATTCATGATGTTGAGCATCTTTTCATGTCCCTGTTGGCTCTCTGGATGTGTTCTCTGGATAATGTCCATTTGGATAACCCTCCCACTTTTTAACCACTTTGTTTTTTGCTGTAGTTATTGAGTGTAGGAGTGCTTTATATGTACTGGATACTAATCTTTTTTTTTTTTTTAAAGATTTATTTATTTATTTATTTATTTGAGAGAGAGAATGAGATAGAGAGCATGAGAGGGTGGAGGGTCAGAGGGAGAAGCAGACTCCCTGCTGAGCAGGGAGCCTGACTTGGGACTCGATCCCGGGACTCTGGGATCATGACCTAAGCCGAAGGCAGTCGCTTAACCAACTGAGCCACCCAGGCGCCCCTCCATACAAATTTTAAAGATTCTTTGCCTTATGTCTATAAAACGTGTTTCGAATTTTGGTTAAGAATTGCATTCAATCTCTAGACGGTTTTGGGTAGTATAGACATTTTAACACTTAATTCTTCTAATCCATGAGCATGGAATGTCGATTTACTTGTGTTGTCTTCCGTTTCTTTCCTTAGTGTCTTACAGTTTTCAGTATATAGGCTTTCACCTCCTTGGTTAAATTTATCTTTAAGTGTTTTTTGGTTTTTTTTGATGCAATTTTAAATATGATTTTTAAAATTTATTTTCCTGTTCATTATTAGTATATAAAAATGGAACATATTTTTATGTACTTTTTATCCTGCAACTTTATTGAATCTGTTTAATAGTTTTTTTCATGTTGTTTTTAGGGGTTTTTTTACATATAAAATGTCATTTGAATATAGTGACCTTTACTTCTTCCTTTCCAATTTGGATGTATTTTATTTCTTTATTTTTCTTGTGTAATTGCTCTGGCTGGGATTTCCAGTAGTATAGTTGACCGTTGTCCATCGTCGGTTTGAATTGTGTGGTCCACTTAATACATTTTTTATTCAGTAAATACAGGCATTGCTTGTAAAGGTATTGTCCTTTTGAATTTTTTTTTTCTTTTAAAATGATTATTTATATTCTACTTACTTAGCAATATTGGTTTCAGGAGAATTCCGTGATTCATGACTT